AACTGTTGAACTAGTCCTACTAAAATAACAGGTGTTTAGACATTTTACCTGTCCAATTCGTTTAGACAGTGTTCACAGATTTGAGTTTTCTGCTATTTAGAATTAGTTTTTTTGATTCTTCACTTACTTTTTGTGCTTTTTTTTTTGCTTCTTTGTGCTTTTTTCTTTCACATCTTTCACTACGTTCAGCTCATTTAACAGTTTAGCTTAGTTTCAGCTTACTTCAGCTATTCAACAACTTCAGCAATCCGTTTCTGAATTCGGCTTATGCTACTCATTTCACAGTTCAACTAAAAATTAAACTGTTAAACTAGTCCTACTCAAACAACAAGTGTTTAGACCTTTTTGCTGTCCAGATTTTTAAATAATGTTCAGATTTCTTTTTTCTGCTGTTTAGGATTGATTTGTCCGGTCTTCACTTTTTGTGCTTTATTTACATTTTGGTGCTTTTTGCTTCTAAATCTTTCAAAACATTCAGCTCGTTTTAACAGTTTTGCTTAGTTTCAGCTTCAGCAATTAGTTTCTGAATTCAGCATTTGATGCTAATTTCACAGTTCAGCTAAATGTAAAAATTAAACTGTTGAACTAGTCCTACTACAATAACAGGTGTTTAGACATTTTACCTGTCCAATTCTTTTAGACAGTGTTCACAGATTTGAGTTTTCTGCTATTTAGAATTAGTTTTTTTGATTCTTCACTTACTTTTTGTGCTTTTTTTTTTTTGCTTCTTTGTGCTTTTTGCTTTCACATCTTTCACTACGTTCAGCTCATTTAACAGTTTAGCTTAGTTTCAGCTTACTTCAGCTATTCAACAACTTCAGCAATCCGTTTCTGAATTCGGCTTATGCTACTCATTTCACAGTTCAACAAAAAATTAAACTGTTAAACTAGTCCTACTCAAACAACAAGTGTTTACACCTTTTTGCTTCCAGATTTTTAAATAATGTTCAGATTTCAGTTTTCTGCTGTTTAGGATTGATTTGTCCGGTCTTCACTTTTTGTGCTTTATTTACATTTTGGTGCTTTTTGCTTCTAAATCTTTCAAAACATTCAGCTCGTTTTAACAGTTTTGCTTAGTTTCAGCTTCAGCAATTAGTTTCTGAATTCAGCATATGATGCTAATTTCACAGTTCAGCTAAATGTAAAAATTAAACTGTTGAACTAGTCCTACTAAAATAACAGGTGTTTAGACATTTTACCTGTCCAATTCTTTTAGACAGTGTTCACAGATTTGAGTTTTCTGCTATTTAGAATTAGTTTTTTTGATTCTTCACTTACTTTTTGTGCTTTTTTTTTTGCTTCTTTGTGCTTTTTGCTTTCAGATCTTTCACTACGTTCAGCTCATTTAACAGTTTAGCTTAGTTTCAGCTTACTTCAGCTATTCAACAACTTCAGCAATCCGTTTCTGAATTCGGCTTATGCTACTCCTTTCACAGTTCAACTAAAAATTAAACTGTTAAACTAGTCCTACTCAAACAACAAGTGTTTAGACCTTTTTGCTGTCCAGATTTTTAAATAATGTTCAGATTTCAGTTTTCTGCTGTTTAGGATTGATTTGTCCGGTCTTCACTTTTTGTGATTTATTTACATTTTGGTGCTTTTTGCTTCTAAATCTTTCAAAACATTCAGCTCATTTTAACAGTTTTGCTTAGTTTCAGCTTCAGCAAATAGTTTCTGAATTCAGCATTTGATGCTAATTTCACAGTTCAGCTAAATGTAAAAATTAAACTGTTGAACTAGTCCTACTACAATAACAGGTGTTTAGACATTTTACCTGTCCAATTCTTTTAGACAGTGTTCACAGATTTGAGTTTTCTGCTATTTAGAAATAGTTTTTTTGAATCTTCACTTACTTTTTGTGCTTTTTTTTTGCTTCTTTGTGCTTTTTGCTTTCACATCTTTCACTACGTTCAGCTCATTTAACAGTTTAGCTTAGTTTCAGCTTACTTCAGCTATTCAACAACTTCAGCAATCCGTTTCTGAATTCGGCTTATGCTACTCATTTCACAGTTCAACAAAAAATTAAACTGTTAAACTAGTCCTACTCAAACAACAAGTGTTTACACCTTTTTGCTTCCAGATTTTTAAATAATGTTCAGATTTTAGTTTTCTGCTGTTTAGGATTGATTTGTGCGGTCTTCACTTTTTGTGCTTTATTTACATTTTGGTGCTTTTTGCTTCTAAATCTTTCAAAACATTCAGCTCATTTTAACAGTTTTGCTTAGTTTCAGCTTCAGCAATTAGTTTCTGAATTCAGCATATGATGCTAATTTCACAGTTCAGCTAAATGTAAAAATTAAACTGTTGAACTAGTCCTACTAAAATAACAGGTGTTTAGACATTTTACCTGTCCAATTCTTTTAGAGAGTGTTCACAGATTTGAGTTTTCTGCTATTTAGAATTAGTTTTTTTGATTCTTCACTTACTTTTTGTGCTATTTTTTTGCTTCTTTGTGCTTTTTGCTTTCACATCTTTCACTACGTTCAGCTCATTTAACAGTTTAGCTTAGTTTCAGCTTACTTCAGCTATTCAACAACTTCAGCAATCCGTTTCTGAATTCGGCTTATGCTACTCATTTCACAGTTCAACTAAAAATTAAACTGTTAAACTAGTACTACTCAAACAACAAGTGTTTAGACCTTTTTGCTGTCCAGATTTTTAAATAATGTTCAGATTTCAGTTTTCTGCTGTTTAGGATTGATTTGTCCGGTCTTCACTTTTTGTGCTTTATTTACATTTTGGTGCTTTTTGCTTCTAAATCTTTCAAAACATTCAGCTCATTTTAACAGTTTTGCTTAGTTTCAGCTTCAGCAATTAGTTTCTGAATTCAGCATTTGATGCTAATTTCACAGTCCAGCTAAATGTAAAAATTAAACTGTTTAACTAGTCCTACTAAAATAACAGGTGTTTAGACATTTTACCTGTCCAATTTTTTTAGACAGTGTTCACAGATTTGAGTTTTCTGCTATTTAGAATTAGTTTTCTTAATTCTTCACTTACTTTTTGTGCTTTTTTTTGCTTCTTTGTACTTTTTGCTTTCACATCTTTCACTACGTTCAGCTCATTTAACAGTTTAGCTTAGTTTCAGCTTACTTCAGCTATTCAACAACTTCAGCAATCCGTTTCTGAATTCGGCTTATGCTACTCATTTCACAGTTCAACAAAAAATTAAACTGTTAAACTAGTCCTACTCAAACAACAAGTGTTTACACCTTTTTGCTTCCAGATTTTTAAATAATGTTCAGATTTCAGTTTTCTGCTGTTTAGGATTGATTTGTCCGGTCTTCACTTTTTGTGCTTTATTTACATTTTGGTGCTTTTTGCTTCTAAATCTTTCAAAACATTCAGCTCATTTTAACAGTTTTGATTAGTTTCAGCTTCAGCAATTAGTTTCTGAATTCAGCATATGATGCTAATTTCACAGTCCAGCTAAATGTAAAAATTAAACTGTTTAACTAGTTCTACTAAAATAACAGGTGTTTAGACATTTTACCTGTCCAATTTTTTTAGACAGTGTTCACAGATTTGAGTTTTCTGCTATTTAGAATTAGTTTTCTTGATTCTTCACTTACTTTTTGTGCTTTTTGCTTTCACATCTTTCACTACATTCAGCTCATTTAACAGTTTAGCTTAGTTTCAGCTTACTTCAGCTATTCAACAACTTCAGCAATCAGTTACCAAATTTAGCATATACTGCTAATTTCACAGTTCAGCTAAATGTAAAAATTAAACTGTTAAACTAGTCCTACTGAAATAACAGGTGTTTACACATTTTAGCTGTCCAATTTTTTTAAACAGTGTTCACAGATTTGAGTTTTCTGCTATTTAGGATTAGTTTTCTTGATTCTTCACTTACTTTTTGTGCTTTTTTGCTTCTTTGTGCTTTTTGCTTTCACATCTTTCACTACATTCAGCTCATTTAACAGTTTAGCTTAGTTTCAGCTTACTTCAGCTATTCAACAACTTCAGCAATCAGTTAGCAAATTTAGCATATACTGCTAATTTCACAGTTCAGCTAAATGTAAAGATTAAACTGTTAAACTTGTCCAACTGATATAACAGGTGTTTAGACATTTAAGCTGTCCAGATTTTTATACAATGTTCACAGATTAAAGTTTTTTTTCTTGCTATTTAGCATTATTTTTCTCTATTCTTCACTTACTTTTTGTGCTTTATTTGCTTGTTGGTGCTTTTTGCTTCTACATCTTTCAAGACATTCAGCTCATTTTGACAGTTTTGCTTTGTTTCAGCTTCAGTTAAGCTGTTCAGCAGCTTCAGCTCAGCTGTTCAGCAGCTTCAGCTTACAGTTTCAGCTATCCAGCATTCAAACAGCATTTGTGCAATAAATGCAATTTTTCTAGTTTTTGAATGGAATTACTGAAAAAAAAATCAACTTTGTAAATTTAAAAAAAAATAACAAAAACAAATATTTTTGGCCATTGAGTGTGTCACCGACAACTTGATAATTTTGGTCATAAACATTTGGCCACCACTGATCAGTCTAACCATTCATTTATTTCCCATTAGCAAACACAAAATGGCCCAAACTCTGATTATATACCCCATTGGGCTAAACTCTGGTGCTCCAGAAAAAGTTCTAACACATAGTTTAGTTACGGTTATGAAACACCATCCCTGTCACGGGTGACACACCGCACTGCACAGCATAAACACCACATACTGTAGATGTGCCAAATCACTATTTGTCATACACTGAATAACTCAGTGGGATTTGAGTGTGTGTGCGTGTGTGTGAAGGCTTTATCGGATATGTGAGACTGAGGCTGCATCAAGCTTCCAAATCCATTTAACAGATTTTACCTTTGTAGGAAAAGTAAAATCATTTGATTGAGTTTCTGTCGCATTGACCATTGTGCTGTTTTTCACTACTGTGTTTTTACCACCCCTCCCAACGAGTGGAGGATTTGGATGTCATCTCCTGTGTGACTCATGCCATCAATTCTCTTTCTGTCTTGTTTATCTGGTCTCATCTTCCCCAGGGTGAAGCATCCCAATATCCTCCAACTGGTTGACGTATTTGAGACCAAGAAGGAGTACTTCCTCTTCCTTGAACTGTGAGTTTTTGACGCCTGGTGAGCCGGAGGAGAGCAAACCCTGTGCTTGTCTTTGCTGTAGCACGGCCCTGAACTGGTTCTGTTGATCACACACTCATGGGGAATGAGTTGCTGTTGCTAAAGGCTCTCCAGATACACAAACCGCTCTAAGCTCGACATCATTTGCTATTCAGATGTGATCATTTTCTAGCTGCTCTGTTCTCGTCAGCAAGCGTTCTTTGGGAATTGGATGCATTTCTCTGGAATTTCTAAAAGTGGAATGGAGCAGTTTTCCCCTTCCTCGGAGAGCACTTGCTTTGTGGGTTCAGGGATTCAGTTCACAGAGAGCCATCTGTGGGGGAATCATAATTACCATTTTCTTCATGTCTTTTCTGCGATTCCAGGAAAGATTCAAGGATCACATTTTAATATAAAAAGAATGTTGCTTAATTTCAAGAGGGTTTCTTTTCCCCAGTATTTACCTTGTTCTATGAAAACTTAATGTCTTAGTGTGAAGTAACTCTCAGAAGAAGAGATGGCACACATGTTGTGCATAAAACTTAAGCTGCTAACAAAACCGTGTTTTCTCTGACTGTATTCTCATCTTTCTATTTCAAGATTTTAACAATAGTGTATTTTGTATGAAGTCACATTTGTGGTTTTTATTTTCCCAAAGTGCAACTGGGAGAGAGGTGTTTGACTGGATCCTGGATCAAGGCTATTATTCAGAGAGAGATACCAGCAATGTGGTCCGCCAAGTACTCGAGGCCGTTGCATATCTACACTCACTGCACATTGTCCACAGAAACCTGAAGGTAACCCGCTGTGGTAACACACGGCAGTAGATCCAAATGATTGAAGTGAATTTATGCTGTTGGCACCACACTGGTTGCATTTACAGTTGAGTGTCACTGGTAAAAAGCATACTATCTGACTATCTGATTTAGGAGGAAGTATGCAAATTTATATTCAAAGTTGCCCAAAAACTGTTTTATTTAAAGGAGTCATCACCTGAATTTTTCACTTTTGCACTTGGAAAAGTTTATATAATGGCGTCCTAATGATTTTTCACTGGCCGGAAAGTCGATATTCAACATTGGTCCGATTTTTTTTACTCTTTGCTTCTTCAACCAGCCCTCGTGCACTCCACGAGCACGCGTCATGCAATCCAAAAAGAGCTCTTGAGTTCTGGCCTCACTGTCGTCACAAAGGCAGGATGTACAGTACACTATACACAGTACAACGCCGCTATAACCCGCACTGCTCTGCTTCCAGAAACGATGGCCAGAAAAGACGCTGTTTCAACCTTCATTTTGGAATTAGTTGTCTTTGAAAATACAGTAATAACGGTTTGTTGTTTTAAAATATCTAACTTCATCAGACTAACGTTGTTTCAGCTGTCATCAAGCATCCACATTTTTGCTGGGTTTTAACACCGTTTTCAGTGATAGAAATATTTTCAGTGCAACTGTGTCAAAGGGATAGCTCAACTAGTAAGACATCTGACTTACATGCAAAGGACCCAGGTTCGAATCTAAGCTGAGTTATCAGATTGTTATTTGGAGGTTTTTTACCATGCTAATTTTTTACGGTATTAAGACACCCAAATTTTTATTTTTAAATGTCCAAATGAGATGCGCTGAAAGACATTGAATTCACGGCCAGAAAAGACATTGGTTCAACTTTCATTTTGGAACTATTTTCCAACCATGACGTGATGCGTCATTTGGAATCAAAGTATGTCCCAGGAAGGTCCCGTCTTTCTCGCTGCGCTGAGTTCACAGTTTCTTTACAAAACTCCCCAAAACAGCTTTCTGTTGGTGGCAGTGGCAGGGGAACAGTCTGCACTTAGCAAGGGAAGATGCCGGTGTGCTGCTAAATCAAACCGTCAGTCGTAGTAGAGCCCTTCTAGCCAATCAGAGGCAAAAAAGACGGGATCTTCCTTGGACATCCTACGATTCCAAATTAGGCATTCAGCACAGCTGAAATATCGCGTGTGCTCTCGCGAGAAAACATATCCTTTACAAAAAAGGGTCAGAAAAGCACTTTTTTATTTATTTTTATGGCCTAAAATTAATATAATATGATGCAGATATCCATGTTGGTAACTGGTGATGACTCCTTTAAAATATACATATGCAAATATTTTCCAAAGAAAATCAGTATCTGGGACACATAAAAATCTTGATAGAACATCCACAGTTTAAACTCAGAGACTCAGTTAACCACATTCTTTTAGGGCTTCCACACTAGCACCGGCTCCACTCTGGTTAGATACCGTACGAAGTGTTCACATCCGCATAGTCTGGATATTTTCCACTCTCAACCGGTCATTTTTTCAGCCCTCTTCTCAAGGCGGTTCGCTTCAGGCTGAATTAGTCCAACACACCTACTACCGAGTGATTAGCCGGCTCAAATTCATGCCTACAATTAGGGGGAGCAGCGGGGCTTCCCACATGCCTGATTCATTATAAACCACGCCTCTGACTAAAACCGTGTCTTTTTCTCTGTCTCTGTCTGAGGAACAGCCCCCCCCCCCCCCCCCCCAACACACACACACACACACACATACAACACTACCAGGCTTGACCTGCACCAGGACAGACACAGCAGAGCAGGATGCAATATCAGAGTCACAGTCTCCTTAAGCAACACATGACAGCGTTTGTTTAATGTAAGGGAGATACCGCTGACTTTTTGCGTGCGTCTTTTCCCACTTGCTTAGAGATGTGCTCATGACATCACTGATATCTTCACAGCAATTTTGGAGACTACCCATATGCTGAGTCACATCTACATTCCTAAGGATGTGTGTAATCACCACAGTCACACTGGAACAGACTGGAGTGGACTGCGTGGAGTGGAGCTGGCCCTAGTGTTGAAGGCCTATTAGATTATTTTTCATACGAGGACGTGAAGATTTAGCTGCATGTTTATTGTAAAACAAACACTATGCACGTGTTAGACAAGTCGTGGCCATTGTTCTGTCCTTGTACTCAGTTAGAGAACTTGGTGTACTACAACCGCCTGAAGCACTCCAAAATCGTCATCAGTGACTTTCATCTGGCCAAGCTGGAGAACGGACTGATCAAAGACCCCTGTGGGACCCCAGAGTATTTGGGTGAGATTCCAGTAAATTCAAGGTTCTTTGTGGCTATGTGTTTTAGCTTGTTAATGACGTTTCCTTGATCTTGTTTAGCTCCAGAGGTGGTTGGCAGACAGCGATACGGCCGACCCGTGGACTGCTGGGCAACAGGGGTCATCATGTACATACTGTAAGTATGGAGCTCAGCTTTTATAACTATCTTCCAGTAACATTTGGATTTGGTCAGAAATGTGATGTATCATTGACAGACTTTGTTTCAGCTCATGCACTTTTGTTCAATGTCTTCCAGTCTGTCAGGCAACCCTCCTTTCTATGATGAAACCGATGATGATGATTATGAAAACCATGACAAGAATCTGTTCCGAAAGATCCTTGCGGGAGATTATGAGTTTGATTCCCCATACTGGGATGAGATCTCTGATTCAGGTAGCATCTAAGTTAACCCAGAGAAAATAAAAAACACTGTAAACACTTCAAATGGGGAAGAACTTTGCCTTTTTCAAACTATAGCAACATTTATGCCGTCATCCATCAAGGGGGTAAACGTTTCCTTCCTGTGTCTGATTCTTTGACAGCGAAGAATCTGGTTGCTCGTTTGATGGAGGTGGATCAAGACCAGAGACTGACAGCTCAAGAAGCCATAAACCATGAGTGGTAAGCAGCTGAGCTTTGATTTTTGCAGACTGAATCTAAATTAGAGCGCTGTGTTCAAACTCTCCCAACACAATCACAAAAGTTGCATAAGAGCAAGAAAACCCAAACTTCTGTTATAGAGGAATATCTGTTTTCAGTGTTTTGAATATGAATTGACCAAGCAATAATTGTGTCTCAAAGTAGAAACAAATAATAAACACCAGCAATTTCCTGTCCTCTGATCCCTGCAGAAATGTCCTGAAAAATATAGACTGATATCAAGTTGTCTTGTTGCAATCAAGAAGCAGTTACACCCAAATTAGAGGTTCTGCTTAGTCAGCAGAACCAGCTTCAGTAAACTAATCTGTTTTTCTTTGCTACATGTTAGACAAAATTAGCAAATGTAGAAAAACCACTAAACACAAATCTATTCTCTCAAGATTCAGTCATAACACCAAATATTCTGTGCAGCAGCCTGTGGGAAGAAATGTAAGGCTCTGCTGTTTCGTTGAACTTTATGTTCTGCACTACAGGATCTCCGGTGGGGCAGCTTCAGATAAGAACATCAAGGAAAATGTGTGTGCACAAATAGAGAAGAACTTTGCCAGAGCCAAATGGAAGGTATAGTTTTTTATTCATTATTTTGTCCCAAATTCCTATTTTTTTTCCTAAAGAGTTGCTTTAGTGACATACTGTTTTTCACTGAGTTAAACTTAGTTGAATGCTAAAGAAACGAAGCCCCATGTGCTGCAGTTTTTGGTGATAATTGTTTCTAAAATGTAGCAAAACGCTCACATTGGTTCTTAATTAGGGCTGCTCAATTAATCGAATTTTAATCCCAATTACAATCTGAGTTTTGAACGATTATTATAACAAAACTAGCCGATTATTTGCTCCTCCCACTTGCGCTGCCCTGAGTTGCAAATGAAGCACTCCTCCCACAGTGTTGCCAACTTATCGACTTTGACGCTATTTCTAACAGCTTTTCAGACCCCCTTCTTGACTTTTTAAATCTAAAAGTACCTAGCGAACACCTCAGAAACATCTCTGGTAACCCTTAGCTACTTTCTGGATAACTGTCGTTGACGTTTCCTGCAGGTTAGCTAAACACCCCGCCTGCGCTCCGGACCGTTCTTCAGGACATTAGGAAAGGGAATGATGTAGTGATGTGTCAGTCGCTAAAGACAGCTCTCAGAGCCAGCTTCCTGTTGGATTAACCAGAGTGAGTGACACACATCGTACCTGCGGGCTCCTGAGCCACTAAAACGGCTAAATGTGTGTGTGCTGCACGCTAAACACACGTGCAGCTTGCTCCTGATTGCTGTGAGACCGGGTTGGGGGGTGGGGGGTGCAGCTGTGGTTGGGACAATTATTACATCAACTGATGGACCTGTAAATAAATAGTTTATTAATAAGGTAGAAATAAGTTCCTCACGCTGATAAATAATAACTAATCTCTCTGAGGACACGGTGCTAGTGCACTCTCCTACAGCACCTTGACACGACTAAATACATATTATGCAACATTTTGTGAACATCAATTTATCTGCATTTATTTGTTAAAAATGCCACTGTATAATTATTGCTGTCAGTATTTGCAAGATATTGGTATTTGGGTCTGTACTGGTTAGACTTAAATGAGTTAAACCAAGGTCTGTAGCCCTTGGGTCATAAACTATGAGCTGTAAGTATATTGGTCTTTTTATACTGGGAATGAGGAGTTCTTTTAGTGATCATCTTGTTTCTTATTTATTTTTGTCCTGATTGTTGAGCAATTTTATGACTGAATAAAAACAAATAAAATTAACATAAATTGAAAAATTTTCTTAAATGATCGAGATCTCAATTTCAGTCACAATAATCGTGATTATTATTTTTGCCATAATCGAGCAGCCCTATTCTTAATTTCTTTGTTTTAAGTCTCAGACCTTCACTCTTGTGTTGTTTGGTTTCTATTTGTCTTTTAATGGTTTAATCAAATTCCAAATATGAAGCAGATGTTTGTTGTGTGATCACTTTAAAGGTGTGGTTGACTGAACAACCATTTTTAATAATTATTTCTGATTACTATGACTTTTTCATGTAGGCTGAACATGAAAATAGTCTCCTACACCTATCTCCTGCATTAGCTTCTAACAGAAAATAGACAGTGAAACTCAAGGATTTGAAAAGTCTCACATATCTACGTCACGCTGTGAATTGGACTTACCCAAATTGATTTACAACAGAAGGCTGTTATTATTTTATCATTCAGAATCAGCAAAGAATGCCTCTTTCAACAGAAGCTAACTGATAGCATTAGCAACTCAAACACATGGCTGAAGCTCCTCCAGGCTTGTTATTTGTGGAAATAAAAGCATATGGAACTAGGATTGGGGCACTATTACACTTAACTTGTACCAAGTTTTGCAACTTGTAATATGTTTTGTAACTGTGACTTTTGTAACATGTAATTCATGTTTTATAACACGTAACTTTTGCTTTGTAACATATAACTTTCATTTAGTAGCATGTAATTCTCATTTTGTAACATGTAACTTTGGTACGTAACATGAAACTTTATTTTGTAACTTGCAGAAAAAATCAATGTACAAGTTTCAAATCAAAACTTTGAAAACACAAATCTCGTTCTACAGTTACAAAACAAGTCCACAAATACGAAACATTTTGTCCCTATTTTAGCTTGCTTCCAACAGGAATTGTCTTCAAAAAGGAATGCAAGCCTGTCATTGGTTCTTTGGGAAGGAAGCTAGAATCGGGACAAAATGTTTTGTAGCTGTAGACAGAGATGTGTGTTTTGAGAGTTGTGATTTGGAACGTGTACATCGATTGTTTTCTGCAACTTACAAAATGAAAGTTTCGTCTTTGGTGTGTTCTTACTGTGTCTAGTTTCTAATTCCATTTTTGGTTATTTTTTATAACACAGGAAAGGTTTCTCTTTACCTTGCTAACGTTTCGTTTGCCGACTGCAAAACATCCTCAGAAAGTTTCATGCTACGTACCAAATGTTACATGTTGCAAAATGAAAGTTACGTGTTACAAAACAAGAATTACATGCCACAAACTAAATTTACAGTTGCTAAACATGTTAAAGGTTACAAAGCTGTGTCCCAATCCTACTTCCATAAAGGCACAGAGTTAGTTGTATGGTTGTGTTTCTTTTACCCAATCCGAGACAAGATGTCTAAATATCAGGAAATAACACTCCAATTCCTCCCGTTTGAAGCACAGATCTGATGTCGCAAACTTGTCCTGCTGGACCATGGGTTCCTGGGCTTTTTTGTGTCCTGAATTATGCCTGCAAGGCATTCCTTCCTACTAGTAACTACTGCAAATGCGTTGATCAAACGAGTAATCCATACCTTAACAATAGAAGTACTCCATCATAACTAACTGAACGGAAATTAAGATTGCTTCCAGTTGTAGCCCAGTATGACTCTGGCTTTGTGCTAAAATTTGTTTTTCAGAAAGCTGTTCGAGTCACCACCATAATGAAGAGGCTAAGAGCACCTGAGCAGAGCGAGTCCAGGCCCGCTGGCCCTGCAGCGGACTCCCCAGCAGATGCTGTGGCGGACCCGGCTGCACCTTCATCAGCGGCTGCTGGAGGAGAGGTGAGTCTCCATGTTCCTGAGGCCGGCTCAACGGTGGCAGCCTCAACCCAGGAGCAACAGCAGCCAAATCCAGATGCCCATGGAGCCGAGCCTGCATCCCGCTGCAACGGTGAAGCATCTGCTGCTCTTCACTCTGCTGCAGAGGCAACTAATGAGCAAGGCTAAACCTTCTTGCTCACTCTCACCACCTGTGTGTGACCTCTGCAGTCCCTGCTGACTCCTGCACACTGTACATTAGTTGCTGGCATGGTGACACTGACTCTGCTTCTTTCTCACTAGCAGCATTAGCATCATCTCATGAAGGCTGTGTGCTGCTTTTCCTGAGCACTGCATTGCATCTGCTTTTTTAAAGATACGTGTTGTGTTTTCACTGATCCTGTGTGTTAAAGTATAAATAGAAGCTTAAAACTGGAGCTTTAGCGGCAAATTAAATTTGTTACGAAGCTTTTGCCTTACAGCTAAAGCTGTCTGTGTCTTCTTATTGTGATAAAAGGGTAAGGAAGGGCATAATTGTGTTGAAAACAGCTTTGATTAGATCTTAATAAACCAGCTTTGCGGTTACACCATGTGTTCCTGGAACTGTTAGGGAAGTTTCCCTCTGCTTATCGTTACTGTGTTGGCATATAAGAGCTGGCTCAAACACAAAGAGGAGAGTATTTATATTCCTTTCACATGGGAATTACTCATAACCGTACTATCTGTTACTGTCTGAACTAACAGTTGTTGTGCACTAACCAATTCTGAGGCAACTAGGGATATTTTTTAGCCCAGTTCTGTATTTCTGAATGAGGCAGCTTCACATATAAGCACACACACAAACATTGTAATCCTGCTCAGGAAAGAGTCCTGGCTGTAAGTGTAAATATTCTGTGTATAGAGACTTTGTAGAAGTAGCTGAAACAGCATGCTTTCTCACTTTTTGCTGTTCATTTAACGCCCGAGGACAAAGACGCGTCTCTGCCAGCATCCTCTTCTCATCGTCCATGGTGATAAGAGGATCACCATCACGACCTCAGACTTTCGTCTGACGTGCAGGCTTCGTCGATTTCTATCTTTCCTAGAGCGTACAATATTACAAATGTTGCTTTACTGTTCTTGAAAAAAAAGTTCTTTGTTGTTCTGCTAATTTTTTCACCTTTTAGTTTCAAAGCATTAGTTCAGTTCTTCTGAATTTGGATTCAGTGGAAATGTTAAAACTAGGGATTCCCCAATCAAACTTTTTGTTGCCAAACACCAATACTATCCATCCATCCGACCATTTCCTCGGCTTTTCTGGGGTCAGGCTGTAGGGGGCAGCAGCCTAAGCAGAGAGACCCAAACTCCCCTCGCCCCAGCCACTTGGGCCAGCTCCTCCTCCTACAATGTTGTGTGTTGTGAGATTTGAATAAAGGCTCTTATTATTATTTATTTGTTTATTTGTTTCACATAGTGGGGATCCTAGCAATAAAGTGGTGGGCTGAGCCTGGTGTCTGGTCATCGAGCATGGTGAATAAATATATTGTCACGTTATTTGCTCAGCCTTCTGCTTGTCACACACATACAGACGAGTGTTGGTGAGTGTAGCTGCGTCTGGCTGTCACTGCTCCAGGTGTACTTTTATTTCTGTATTGAACATTGAAAATTCCCTTTACTCCACCTAAAGTTTGTTCTTCATTTTTTGTATTTGCAGATTTGTTTTTATAAGCTTTACATCTTGAAATGTCGGATTAATGATTTTGTGTTGACACGTTTTAACGACACGTTGAATCTCAGATAGAGGAGGAGCAATGTGGTTTTCGTCCTGGCCGTGGAACTGTGGACCAGCTCTATACCCTTGCAAGGGTGATGGAGGGGGCATGGGAGTTTGCCCAACCAATCCACCTGTGCTTTGTGGATTTGGAGAAGGCTTATGACCGTGTCCCCAGGGGCACCCTGTGGGGGACGCTCCAGGAGTATGGGGTGGGTGGCTTTCTGTTAAGGGCCATTCAGTCCCTTTACCAGAGGAGCGTGAGTTTGGTCCGCATAGCCGGTAGTAAGTCGGACCTATTCCCAGTGAGGGTTGGACTCCGCCAGGGCTGCCCTTTGTCACCGGTTCTGTTCATCACTTTTATGGACAGAATTTCTAGACGCAGCCGTGGTGTGGAGTGTGTCGAGTTTGGTGGCAGGAGAATCTCGTCTCTGCTTTTTGCGGATGATGTGGTCCTCCTAGCTTCATCCAGCTCTGACCTTCAGCTCTTGCTGGGTAGGTTCGCGGCCGAATGTGAAGCGGCTGGGATGAGGATCAGCACCTCCAAATCTGAGACCATGGTTCTCGACCGGAAAAGGGTGGCTTGCCACCTCCGGGTCGGGGGAGAGGTCCTACCTCAAGTGGAGGAGTTTAAGTATCTCGGGGTCTTGTTCACGAGTGAGGGTAGGAGGGATCGGGAGATCGACAGGCGGATTGGTTCGGCGTCTGCAGTGATGCGGACGCTGAGCCGATCTGTCGTGGGGAAGAGGGAGCTGAGCCAGAAAGCCAGGCTCTCGATTTACCGGTCGATCTACGTCCCAATCCTCACCTATGGTCATGAGCTTTGGGTAATGACCGAAAGAACGAGATCGCGGATACAAGCGGCCGAAATGAGTTTCCTCCGTAGGGTGGCCGGGCTCAGCCTTAGAGATAGGGTGAGGAGCTCGGACATTCGGGAGGGACTCGGAGTAGAACCGCTGCTCCTCCGGATCGAAAGGAGCCAGTTGAGGTGGTTTGGGCATCTGGTCAGGATGCCTCCTGGACGCCTCCCCGGGGAGGTGTTTCGGGCATGTCCTGCCGGCAGAAGGCCCCCGGGTCGACCCAGGACACGTTGGAGAGGTTACATCTCCAATCTGGTCCGGGAACGCCTTGGGGTCCTGCCGGAGGAGCTGGTGGACAAGGCCGGGGAGAGGACGGCCTGGAGCTCCCTAGTTGGGATGCTGCCCCCGCGACCCGGACCCGGATAAGCGGAGGAAGACGAGACGAGACGAGACGTTTTAACGAGGTTCCCCTGCGCTGTTTTTTCATTGCTGGATGCAAAGTTTGCATCAGTCTCACACATGATGTAAAATTTCAGCAGACACGTTTTTCCACCGTGGTTGCGCAGTGCGAAGGAAGAGGGGAGGAATATGCTAGGGTCTCTGTTGGCTGCAAGTTATGGTATGATCAGCACTGAAGAGCATTGACTGGAATTTGCTGATCACGTTTTTCAGACAGGCTGATAATGATCCGAACATCCTTGTTCAAAGCAACTAATGCCGTATCTGTTCGAGATAGCTCTTCAGCCAGCCTTGGTTTTGAGAAAAAGAGGTAATCTTTGTTACAAACAAATCAATGTCAAACAAATGAATAGAATTCATTCATTCACAAAAAGACTTGACAATTCGGATGTATTAAAGGTGTGGGACACTCATTTGCACTGATCTCCAGGGATGAATGCCTTGCAAGTCATACTGTGGGGTGTATGTGTGCTTGATTCAGGAACTAGCAGAATACCACATCAGGGAAGAGCTCAACACGGCAGAATTTAGTCTTATTTCCTGATATTTGGACATCTCGCCTCTGATTGGATGAAGAAGAAATTATCTTTTATAAAGTGCCTCTCAAGAGGTACCAGGATCAGAACCAGGATCTTGAAATGAGCCCCGAAGTTGACTGGCAACCAGTGAGGTACATCACAAGGTGCTTCGCAAGAGCCAAAAAATAAAAGAATTTTTTTTTGAAAATATAAATACAATTTCAAAAGTAGATATGGAGGAAAAAAAAGTCAAGATCTGAGGCCTTCCGAAAAATAATTTATTATAAGCTGACGTGTTTCGGTCGCGTTTCTTCAGGGCATTCATGCACAAAACGGGTTGGCTTATATTTAATTAAATAATTTTTGGGAGTGCCTCAGATCATGAATTTTTTCTTCCATATCTACTTTTGAAGTTTTTATGATCTTGAAGTGCTCCCGAGATACTACAGAAATTATAGATATATCTAGTCCCACTGATGCACTTACTCCCACCTGTTTGAATATAGATAAAATTTATTTTAAAATATCATAAAAAGGGGGAAATTTGAAAATGTAAGCTGAAAAATGAGAAGGAGGACAAAAATGAACAAGAAAAAGGTAATACAGGAGCCAGAGAAATAGAGAACGGGTTGAAAGAGCAGAACAAGGAGAGGGCAGTGAAGGTTACACCAAAGCCTGAACTGGTGAGTTTTTAGCTACTTTTTAAAGGAGACCACTGAGTCCACTGATCTCAGGCTCAGGGGAAGAGAGTTCCAGAGTCTGGGGGCCACAGCAGCAGATGATCTGTCACATTTGGTCTTTAGCCTGGTGCTGCACAGCCAGTAGGCTTTGGTCACTGGACCTCAGGGACCTGCTGGGGATGTAGGGACTGAGAAGATCACCAATGTATGATGGTGCTTGTCCATGTAAGTCCCTATAGACCAGAACCAGGATCTTGAAATGAGCCCTGAAGTTGACTGGCAACCAGTGAAGCTGGAGGAGAAGCGGGGTGATGTGGGTGTGTTTGGAGGACTTGGTCAGAAGCCGAGCACAGGCATTCTGAACCACCTGTAGACGGTTCAGGGAGGTTCTGCTCAGACACGTGAAAAGAGAGTTACAGTAGTCTAAGCGTGAGGAGATGAAGGTGTGGAGAACAGTCTCAAGTTCAGAGCGGGACAGAATGGGACTCAGCAATGTTCCTGACATGGAAGAAGGAAGTGCGGACAAGAAAACTGACATGAGAATCCAGGGTGAGAACTGGGTCAAAGCTCACACCAAGATTCCTGACCTCACCAAGAGAGTCTCTAACTTTGGGAACCAGCCTGTCTGGGGCACAGATGAGGATCTCAGTCTTATCTTCTTTCCGCTGTAGAAAGCTCCCAGCCATCCAGGTTTTAATAGAGTCTAAGCAGGTGTGTAACAGCTGCAGCTTAGACATCTCATGGGGCTTAAAGGAGACGGAGAGTTGGATGTCATCCGCAGAAAGATGGTAGGAGATTCCTTTAAAATAGCTCAGGATATGCTGAAGAGGAAACAGATAAAGGAGGAAGAGTAGAGGCCCCTGCACAGAGCCTTGTGGGACACCAGAGGCAAGGGAGGTGGAGGAGAACCAAAACTTGGAAAAGGCCACAGAGAAGGAGTGCTCAGAAAGATAAGAGGAGAACCACTCCAGAGCAGATCCTGATAGGCCTACCCAGTCTCTCAGCCTCTCCAGTAGCAGGTGGTGGTCAACGGTGTCAAAGGCGGTAGTCAGGTCCAGCAGGACCAGAACAGAACAGTACCCTGCATCACTGTGGGTCAGAAGGTCATTGGATACCCTAAGATTACAGCAACACAACTCTACCAGACTCCATTTCCTCCGCAAAATGGATGTTTTCTCTCCACAAATAACACAAGCCTGGAGGAGTTCTGCTGTATGGGGTAGTTGCTAATGGTAATGGTTAGCTTCTGCTAGTTGAAACAGTCTTTGATGTTTCCTGGATAACAAACCAACAACAGCCTTGTCAAGACGGGTGACAGTGACAGTGTTACGTAGATCTGTCAGGATTTTCCAATCCAATCAATCAATCAATCAATCAA